GTTTTGACAGACATGTTTATTGTGTATTATTTTCAACGTGTTTATTGCTAAGTTTAGTGTGGCAAAATAGAAGCGCAGCCGTAATTCGTGTGCAGTGTATCTGGTTGCCATGACAACCTCACGCGCTTCCTGCTGCTGCTCTATGTAATCAGAGTGTGAATTTGTAGATTTTCTATAGCAAAACTAAAATGTGTTTAAAAGTGAAACTGACCAAATCGTACGGCTCGGTTTGCCCCCCCTCGAACTCGAAGACAGTTTACCATCTGTTCTCACTCAGTGACTCTAGGCTAGTACTAGGACGGGATGAAACCATGCAGTAAATGGGGGGAGATAATTTTGTTTTATTTGTAACTCTTTGGTAGATACATTTATAATTTCTATTACATTACTACTACTACTGTTACTACTAATAAATCAGATCTCTGGGGGCCCCAAAAGTGCAGGGCCCTTAGAATCGTCCTAACTTCCCCCCCTTAGCGGCGCCCCTATCTATCTATCTGTATGTCTGTCTATCTGTCTGTCTATCTCTCTATTTATTTGCCTGTCTTTCTGTCTGTTTTATCTATCTCTCTGTCTGTCTGTCTGTCTGTCTGCCTGTCTTTCTGTCTATCCACATATTCATCTGCCCTTACGTCTGTCTGTTTTTCTGTTTGTCTGTTTATCTGTCTGTCTGTCCATCCATCTATCTAGTCCATCTATCTAATGTTTTCTCTCTCTGTTTCAGACCATGCTGCTGGAGAAATGGAGGGTGTGTCAGAGGCCGGAGGGAGAGAGTAACTTCCTGGTGTTCTCCCAGATGCTCGCAGGCCTCAGCACAGACATGAGGTCAGTTCGGTCCCTGGAGCTCTCTGTGGTCAAACTCAGTAGCATTTGCTGCTTGTATTGTGAAGCCTTTTTCTGACTTCCTGCAGGGTTCGTACGGTCATGAAAAACCTGGAAAAGTCATGGAATTTTAAAACAGCAATTTCCATTCCTTGGGAAAAATAAATAAACCCAGAAAGTTATATTGCATAGTTTGCATAATTTTACTCATAATTTTAATTTATTCAATTTTTGTATATGTTTGTACCTGAATACTACTGTTAGACTGAAACAGTTTCCAAAATTAAATGAAGGTTCTGAGTTGAACTGATAATACTGGTTAAATACATTACAATATTCAGTGTGATGATATGTGTTAATATGTTCTCTGGAGCAACGTCTGGCGCAGTTGCAGCTTGTACTTATTATTAAAACAAATAGAAAGCAAACAAGTAGTGTTAATATTTTAGTTAACATATGCTATTATAAATTTGAACAGATTTTTATTCTTATTGTAAAATAATGGAATATTAGGTCATGAATATTGTCTCAAAAGTCATGGAAAAGTCTTTATTGGTAAAAATGTGTACAAACCCTGTTCCTGCCTTCTGCCCTAACAAGCCTGACTGCAGCATCATTAGACGGCAAACACAAAGTTACCCGTCATTAAACCCCAGATCATTCACCCTATTGTTATGGGTTTGTTTTTGGACTCAGTTTCCCCTCAGAGGCACGCACAGGCTCTTCAGCGAACGCCGCTTTGGCAGAACGCCTGCTCTTTTCATAGCTTTGCCTTAAAACAAAAGCTCCAGAGAGCTCGAGGGGGCAGGATCTTGTCTGATGTCATTTCCTGTTTAAATTTGAGTGTAACTGTCTTGTTCTGTAATCACAGGACTGAACTGCAGCTGCACCAGTTAAAGGAACACAACTCATTTGGAATTGCATGCCCAACCAAGGTATGATTGTTAAACTAACATGATTAGTGCATCTGCTCTGACATGTTGAGCTTTGGTGCTCATGTGGGAAAAACACGTTTAAGTCTAGCTTGCAACATCCTGATCCTGTTCTCTCCACATCTACCCACAATTCCATTCAATAAAAAGGAAAAAAGCATAAATTAATTTAATTTTAGATTAAATACAAAAAAATTAAATAAAGTAACTAAAATTAAATTAAAAAGTTCATTAAATTTAAAGTTTAAATTAAATTATTAAATGTAAATTAAATTAAATTGAAAGTTACTTTTAAAGGTGCTAAATAAAATAAAGTAATTTTTATTAGTATTAATAAATTTATGTTTTTAATTAAATTAAAAATTATAATTGTTTACATTATCGCCCAACAATATATTAAAAGTTGGATATATAGTACTTCCAATTTTATCCACATACATACAGTATACTAACATGAAGTGATATTTACAGTATAGCAAATCTCAACTATATCCAACGTTATCTGCATACATACAGTATACTAACGTAAAAATGTACAACTTGTTTTTGGCACTATTATTGATATAATCGGACAGAAATGAGACAGACTGGTCTTGAACCTTTGTTTCCCGAATGAGCACCAAGGCTCAAAGTGTCTTGCAGATTCTTTAATAAGTTTTAATACATGTAGTTTTTCATCCTTCACTTCAGGTGGATGAAAAGCAGAGAGCTTCAGTGGGTTTTGGGAAGCTACTGGCCGCCATGAATACTTTAGGATTCTCAGCGGATGAGCAGAAGGCCATTTGGCATGTTTTGGCAGGAATATACCATCTCGGCGTCGCAGGAACATGCAAGGGTAAATCAGGACTAGACTTACGGCTGTATTTTGTCAAGCGAAAAGGTATTAGGTGAGCCTTTACTCTCTGTTTTTCCTTTCTTGTACGGCTTCAGTGGGCCGTAAGCAGTTTATGAGTTTTGACAGCGCGCAGACGGCCAGTGCCATCCTGGGTTGTGAGGGAGAGGAACTCCACACTGCCGTCTTCAAACACCACCTGAGGCAGTTACTGCAGAGAGCCACCGGAGGCGTCAGAGAGCGACGCGCCGCAGAGGAACCAGAGGACGGTCAGAAATACATGCTGAACTCTGTTAAACCCACCAGAATCTGAGAAGATCTGAGATAAACTGTGTAGAGAGGAACTAGAGATAGCATCCTGGAAATCAAATAAATGAAATATTGTTTGTTTGAGTTTTTATAAAGTTTTTATTATTCAGTTGATAAGGACTGGGGCTATTAAGCAGTTTAGCCTCATTGTAAACAGATATTTGACCACAGAATGACCATCCAGGTGATCAGTTAGAAACAAAGATTTCTGAGAGCCACATATTAAATCTTTATAACCAAGTTATAACCAAAAACATTTTGAGACATGTTGTTTCTGTTTTATAATATAAACCAAATTATGTAAATGTGTATTTATTTATATCTGTTATTTAATATCTAAATAATATTTATCTCTCATTCTGCCATACACTACTGTTCAAAAGTTTGAGGTTGGTAAGATTTTTTCATGTTTTGGAGTAAGTTCTTATGTTCACCACGGCTGCATTTATTTGATCAAAAATGCAGTAAAACAGTCATATTGTGAAATATATTACAATTTAAAAGAACTGTTTTTCAGGATTCTTATATGAATGGACAGTTGAAATAGAAATCTTTTGTAATGTTAAAAATGTCTTTACTGTCGCTTTTGATCAATCTAATGCATCTTTGCTGAAGAAAATAATGATTTTTTTTTTTTAATCTTTTCTTTCTTAGCATTTATTTAGTAGTATATCACTGTTTGCACAAACATATTGAGACACTGAAGACTGGAGTAATGATGCTGAAAATTCAGCTGTGCATCACAGGAGTAAATTACATTTTAAAATATATTCAAATAGAAAACTGTTATTTTAAATTGTAATAATATTTCACAATATTACTGTTTTTATAGTATTTTTGACTAAATAAATGCAGTCTTGGTGAACATAAGAGACATCTTTTAAAAACAAAAAATCTTGATTTGCAAAAATGTCACCAGAACTTAGCAAAATCATACACATCCTCTATTTGAGGATGTCCTAAATGGGAAAATATGTAAACTATGCGTGTGTTTCAGGTCCAAAACTGAGTGCTGCTCAGTGTGTGGAAGGAATGGCGGCTGGTCTCTATGAGGAACTCTTCACCACTATTGTGTCTCTCATCAACAGGTAAATACACACTGTTTGGTGACAGTTATATCTCTCTAAAGTGATATAGCAGTGTTTCCCAGCCTTTCTCTTGTTCTCTCTCCAGAGCGCTGCACTCTCAGCAGCTGACGCTGGCCTCTGTGATTGTGGTGGACACACCGGGCCTGAGGAACCCCAGACACAGCAGGGATGGCCGAGCCGCCGGCTTCTCTGAGCTCTGTCACAACTACTTACAGGAGAGACTGCTGGAGCATTACTTCAACCACACATTCACAGACACGCTGGAGAGATACACACGGGTACCACACCGTCTCCAACCACTATGGAGATACGTTAGAAACTGCTGTTCTAGTGTTACACATATTGCATATGAATATGAACCTTGCTGATTGAATTCAAATTGAATGGAATTTCGTTTCATTTTTAAAAATCATATATAAAATAATGTATTAAATAAAGTAACATTCCTATGCATATTTATCATTTCTTTGTTTTACTGCCATTTTATTTGACCAATAAACTATACCTAAAAATGTCTTATGTCAATCTCAAACAAATATTGAAAATTTGTTATTGACAACCTAAAACAGATATTTAATATTAATATGAACCTTGCTGATTAAATTTGAATTTAATTAAAAAATAATATATAAAATAAAAAAATGACATTCCTATGCATATTTATAACTTCTATTTTTTTTGTATATATATATATATATATATATATACTGCCATTTGTTCAATAAATTATGTCTAAAAATGCCATACCTGTTATTTTTCATGGCGCCACCTCAAAAAAATATTGACTATATAATATAACTTTCCTATCCATATTTACTGTATAACTTCTATTTCTGTATGTTTACTGCCATTTTTCTATATAGTCAATAAATTATGTCCAAAAATGCCATGCTTGTTATTTTTCATGACACCACATATTAATTTTTACTTTTTGGCCTTTTTATTTGAAATAATAATGGAGAGGTGAAAAGAAATGAGAACTTTTTAATAATGCTTATAAATCATTTCAGATCATTATTAACTTTCTGATGAATTTTCACAGGAGGGAGTACCTGCAGATTTCAGAGCCCCTGAGGCGAGCCCGTCAGAGGTGGTGTGTGCTGTTGACCAGCCTGGACTGCAGGTATCACTCACTCATCCTCAACATGCTTCTTCCACACAGCAGTCACGCATGTGGTTTCACAGCGTGTGTCTGTGTGCGTTCTCAGGTTCGAGGACCAGAAGGTGACTCTCGAGGTCTCCTGTGGGTTCTGGATGAAGAGATGGTCACTCCCGGTTCCACCGAGAGCACAGTTCTGGAAAGAGTGTGTCAGTACTTCAGCGGCACAGGTGCTTCAGCCTGATCCTGACCTGCTGCTCTGATGTTTTTGAGATGTTTCCTCAGGTCTCATCTTTCTGCTTGCTTGATTCTCAGTGCGCCAGTGCGAGCAGCCTCTGCAGTGTGAGATCGCTCACCTGATGGGTTCAGATCCAGTCCGCTATGATCTCTCAGGCTGGTTCGGTCAGGTCCAGAACAACCTGTCTGTCCTAAACGCCAGTTCCCTGCTGCAGAGCTCCTCAATGTAAGAGAATACAGATGATCACGGACTTTTGCACTGCAGTATGGATGACTTCTAACAGATTTTCCTTAAATAAAATTCTGAATATTGAAGTTTGCCAATTAAAATGAAAGAAATTGTTGAAGTTATTAATGATTTGACATTATTCATTAGTATTACTAAAATATTCATTGTAATATTAAAATATTCATTCATCTCTCCCATTTTATAATAATAAAGGTGCCAAGAAAAATAGCAGGTATAGTATTTAGAAATAGCTTATAGAACAAATAGCAAAAATGGCAATAAAACATAAGGAAATACATGTACATGTTAAAAAAAATGGGTGGGTATTTTATTTTATTTATTATTTTTATTTATTACATTTTTTTTATTTTTATGCACCGCTAAGCTTTTCCTCAATGCACAAGAGCTTATCCTCAAATAAAATTCAGAATATTGAATCTTGCAGATTAAACTGAAAATAAAATGTTAATGTTATTTGGGGAGTTATTAATAATTTGATATTATTGATCAGTATTATTCAAATATTCTGTATGTTTGGTTCATGTGAACTCTGGGACATTCATATATATATTAGAAAATATATAAGGAAATAGATGTTAATTATGGCTGAAATATTTTATTTTATGTTATTTGATTTGGTTCATGTGAATTAGTATGACAACAGTCCATCCGCTCACAGAAGACATATTAATGACAAGTCACTTGCATTTTCGCATTCTTCCATATCTCATTTAATACAGTATAATGCATTTCTCATAGCTGCTTGTCACTGAATAAACTGCTGTTGGAAAGCATCTCACATACTACACATCTTTTGCACATGTCTACAGCAGACTTACGCAAGTGCTGTCTGTGTGTTAAGTTTTGGTGCTAAATCAAATTCAATAACACAGTGAAACTGGTGTCTTGTCCTCCTGAACTGTTACCTAACAACAGGGATAAACATCTGCTGCTAGTGCTCACAATGGTGTTCATGCTGATGATGCAAACGTGCCGCAATAAAGACAAGTGTGAATACAGCCAGCATCAGTATGAGGGCTTCCATTAGCTTGGTGTTGACAACTTTTAGAAAAGGTTCTTATTTGGTTTTCATTTTTGCTTTTTTTTTTTTATTTGACTAAAAATGCATAGTAAGCGATGTAGTTTATGTGTAGAGACCATGCCAGATTGCTTTCATAACAGCTGTAAACCACACTGGAGTGCAAATAAACTTAAAACTAATTTTATAATTTAATTGTATAATTTAAATAAAAAACTATTTTTTACATTTAAATAAAATTCTAAAATGAAATAGAATACATATTACTGCCTATATTTCTAACTAATATATAGCAAACGTTTTTTCACATTTAAATTTGCAAGGTTCAATATTCAAATGTTTGCTTGAGGAGAAGCTCTAGTATGAAAGTGTCCTTAGAAAAATTGCTTAAATTAAATAACATTAAATTACATTACATTACATTAAATAAAAAAAAAATTACCACCCATATTTATAACTTCTGCCATTTTGCTATTTGTTCTGAAAACTATATCTAGAGATGACTTGAAACAAATTCAAATTTAAATTGAAATAAAAATAGAATAAAGGATATTTACTGTATAACTAAAATGTTGATATTTGTTCTCTAAATTATATCCAGCAATGCCATACCTGTTGTTTTTCATGGCACCATAATTTTTTGGGGCACTTTTATTGATTATAATAATAGAGAGATAACAGGAAATCAGCGTTTTATTAATGTTAATGACTTTTACAGTATGGTTGAGTTCTCTTGTAGGTTATTTGTACAAAACACATCAGTGCTCTTTCATACTAGTTGTAAACTGGACAGGGATAAATGTAAATTTGGATTTGAATTTCATTAATATTGCCATTTTGCTGTGCCTTTAATCTGTGTCTAGAAATGCCATATCTGTTTTGTTTTTTGTTTTTTCATGGCACCACATGCTTTTTTTTGGCATTTTTATTGATGTAATAATGAAGAGATGACAGTAATATCTGTAAATAAAATTTATATCATTATATCATTACTGTAGTTCGTGCGTACCAAATATGCCATATGGCTTTCATACCATTTGTAAACCTCACTGGTGAAGTGCACATGAAATTGAAAAAACCCATTCTCAACCAATTAAAAACAAACCAAACTATGAAGTCAAACGGATGTGGGTTGATGCTAAAAACTTGAGAGTGAAAACTCCCTAATTCTCTGTTTTCTTCTTTCACTTGTTCCTCTTCTCAGTGGAGCGGTGAAGGCACTGTTCAGTCCGCGGGCGTCCATGCCTCCTCTGTGCCGGGGTTTGGGCGGTGTGGAGGGCGGCTCTCAGCGCTCACTGGAGAGGTGCGGCACGTTGCGGAAGACTCTGAGCGGCGGGATGGCGGCCCTCAGGAGACATTCCCAGTGCATCGCCGTCAAACTGCAGGCGGTGAGAAACAAATGAGCTGTTATGAAGCTGCTTCCATCTGCTTTTTGTCTGTAAATCCTCTTCACAATTTCCATGACTGTCTCTCTCTCTGAGCAGGATGCTCTGCTGAATCTGATTCGGCGAGCGCAGCCTGTCTTCCTGCAGTGTTTGAGTGCTAAGACAGATGGCTGTGGCTTTGATGTCCCAGCACTGCGTGTACAGCTGCACTCCACACACCTGCTGCCGGCACTGCAGCTGTACCGAACAGGTCACACACACACACACACACACACGCATGTTTGTTTCTTATCATGTATGGGACTCTAATGACTTCTGTTGTACTTCATTAAAGCAAATTAGTTGCAAGTATCTCTATTTCTGTTTGTGAAACTTAATGCAATAATTCACCCAAAAATGAAAATGTGCTGAAAAGTTACTCACTCTCAGGTCATCCAAGATGTAGATGAGTATGTTTCTTCATCAGAACAAATTTGGAGAAATGTAACATTACGTCACTTGCTCACCAATGGACCCTCTGCAGTGAATGGGTGCCGTCAGAATGAGAGTCTAAACAGCTGATAAAAACATCACAAGTAATCCACACCACTCCAGTCCAGCAATTAACATGTAGTGAAAAGCTGAGTGTTTGTAAGAAACAAATCCATCATTAAAGCATTTTTACTTTAAAATGTCACTTTTGGTAAAAATAAAAGTCCATAAAAAATATGAGTCTTCCTCCAGTGAAAAAGTCTATCCACTGTTGTCCCCTTGCATCAAAATCCACCAACGTATTTGTTTAAAACTGTATTGCAACTTGGTTTTCGCTTTTGCTAAACAGTGCTTGAGCTATGCATATTTCTCTCCTGATTCAGACAAGACAACTTTTCACTAAAGAAACCAATATGATAGATTATGGACTCCATAATGATTTGAAGTTAAAAACATCTTGATGAATTTGTTTCTTACAAACAAACAGCTTTTCACTTCACAAGACGTTAACTGATGGACTGGAGTGGTGTGGATTACTTGTGATTGTGATGTTTTTATCAGCTGTTTGGACTCTCATTCTGACGGCACCCATTCACTGCAGAGGATCCATTGGTGAGCAAGTGATGTAATGCTACATTTTTCCAAATTTGTTCTGATGAAGAAACAAACTCCTCTACATCTTGGATAGCCTGAGGGCGAATACATTTTCAGCAAATTTTCATTTTTTTAGTGTGAACTGTTCCTTTAAGATTAGAGATTTTAACCACTTGTGGTACAGACATGATTCCTCGGGTTGTATACTGCATCTCAAACATACTGAACATATGAAGCAGTTCTCCTTGTAAAAAACGAAATCAGGTCCCATTTTGTATTGTCAATTACCAAATGTCCTTTCAAAGACGGCAAGCTCTGTCTCTGTGTCTTGCAGGCTACCCTGAGCACATGTCCCTGGGTGATTTCCGCTGTCGTTTTCAGGCCCTCTCTGCTCCCATAATGAAACGATATGGTTCTGTCTTCATTACCCCTGACGAGAGGAAGGTCTGGACATCCTGAATCCCATGGCACACACGCGCCTCATTACCCTCTGTTAAAATGTCATTTATTTTTAATGATGTCAAATGATGACAATATTTATTTCCCTGTTTATTAACCTGTTTATTGATTAGCCGGATTTTGCTCGAACAGCCCTCATTGATTCAGGGAGCTGCTGTGCCAAAAGTGGGCCTGAGCTCTGTCTGTTTGTGTTTACATCCCTTTATATCAGGCTGTGGAGGAATTATTGATTGATCTGGATGTGATCTGTCGTTCTGTCTGTCTTTTCTCTGTCGTTCTATCTATCTATCTATCTATCTATCTATCTATCTATCTATCTATCTATCTATCATCTATCTATCTATCTGTCTATCTGTCTGTCTGTCTGTCTGTCTGTCGATCTATCTATCGGTCTATCATTATGTAGTTCTGTCTATCATTGTTGGAAATAACACTTCTGAAGTTTTCAGGTCATTCTCTCTCTGATGTGTGTGTTTATGAAGGTGTTTATGAAGCGTGATGTCCTGAGGTCTTTAGATCAGCAGAGAGATCAGTTGTTGAGCGACTGGCTGGTGCAGCTTCAAGCATCCTGTCTGGGTCATATGGGTCGCCAGAAATACCGCCGCATGAAGGCGAGTCTCTTTTGTCCTCTGTTTATAGATCTGAGGATAGGTGCTCAGAGATTGTTCCTCTTTGTAATGACCCAGTGTTCATCGAGGGGAAGTAAAATGGACAATCAAACAAAATTATGACATTTCTGCTGCAATAATCCCTGATTAACTTCAGGGGAAAAAATGTAATTCTTGGAATAGTGTAAAATATAGCTTTTAATGGACTTTAGTAGTTGACTTTAATAGTGCTACAGTCTTGTGTATAGTTGTGTCAGTGTGGGTCTGATGCAGCGTCTAATGTGAGTGCTGATCTGGAATCAGGTTCAGCAGATGGCAGTGAGCTGTATTCAGAGAAATGTGCGAGTCCTCACTGCAGTGGCCCACTGGAGCTGGTGGAAGCTGCTGTGCAGAGTGCGCCCCCTGCTGGACGTCAACATGGATGACCAGCGGCTCAGATCCAAAGAGGTACTGACCCATTCACAAAGGACATGTTCATACTATACATAACATTTAAACCACTAAATCATCGAGTTATCCAGTAATCATGTGTACAATGATATTTGTGTATCTATCTATCTATCTATCTATCTATCTATATATCTATCTATCTATTTATCTATCTTCTATCTGTCTGTCTGTCTGTCTGTCTGTCATCTGTCTGTCTGTTTGTCTGTATATATCTATCTATCTATCTATCTATCTATCTGTCTATCTGTCTGTCTGTCTGTCATCTGTCTGTTTATCTGTATCTATCTGTCTGTATCTATCTGTCTGTCTGTCTGTCTGTATCTATCTGTCTGTCTGTCTGTCTGTTTGTCTGTATCTATCTGTCCGTCTGTCTGTCCATCTGTCTGTCTGTCTGTCTATATTGTGTTTTTGTTTATCAGATTTGTTTCACTCCATTATAATTGTATCACATTCTGTTGTTCAGGATGAGATCACTGCTCTGAGGAGACGTTTGGAAAAGTCAGAGAAAGAACGAAATGAGCTGCGTCAGACTGCAGACAACCTGGAGACCAAGGTATGTGTTTGTGCCGTGCCCCCTGAGCCACATATGAAATGATACTGTCAGATCAGAAATCTCAAAATCAAATTTTCTAGCAGTCGGTGTTCACAGTGATGGATGGAGTCTGGTTATGAATTCTCATCAGTGAAAGCGTATTAACACAAACTCGATTGTGATCGGCTCATGAAGCGCTAATCTCTGTCATATGACTGCTGCTGATGAATGAACAGCTCTTCTGCTGAGACATTGACAGATAATGGTGTGTGTGTGTATGTGTGTGTGTGTGTGTGTGTGTGTGTGTGTGTGTGTGTGTGTGTGCAGGTTACAGCTGTTG